TTTTTTTTTTTTTGAAATCCCAGTTTGTTTACTCAAAAAGCACACATAATAATAGCTCTTAAAAAAAAAAAAAAAATAGTCTGCGAATGTAGTGATCCAACAGGGCATCTGATTTTTAGTAGTTCTGTTGGGAAGCCTTTTTTGTTTCAAAAACTGGCTGGGTCTTTTACTCATATTGCTCTTTTTTTGGCTAGAGTTAAATTTTGGGGTGGAAAACCGTGGAGAATATATTAATTGAGGCATCGATAGAAAGGTTAAGGGGCAGCGTTCGAGCTTGAAAAAAGTTCAGGGATACTTTCAAAAATAAACAATTGCGCTGAAATCTGTTTGTCTTCTTTTGTGGGTTACATTGCTTTTCGAAGGGGCAACTACTAAAATTCGGCTCGGCTTCGCATTATTCTCTCAGTTTGGTTGAAGCGCACTCGTTTGTGTAGTAATTCGATACCGTAGCGTGTTGTAGATGGTGTTTCTCCAAGCACTCTGGAATCAGCTAACAAGCCATTATTTAACAGAATATTTATGCTTCTGTTGTATTTTCAAAAAATCAATTTTTGCTGAGCTTGGATAAGCGACGTAACATGCTGTGACAATGATCATAGAGTGGATATTGTAGCTGCTGGTTAGGGTTTCAACTCTGGTATAGCATCTCAAGAATATCCTGATTTTAGAGGTAGCACTCAGTGAGTTGTCTTGGATTGCCTGGCTAACATGCGGAGGACATTCTTCATTTTAGGCTCGAATTCATTTTTCCCAGTTTACTAGGACGTTTGGTACATTTTACGCCCTCACATATGAAGCTTATTGTTTTTGTCGCTTGTACTGCTTGTATTTACTTCCATCGTTTGTTTCGATTCTAGATGTATGTACTGTTTGATTGCAGTGGTTTTGCCACCAAATGAGACTACTTTTTTTATTTGAATGAAGATAAATCTTGGCTAAGCTTTATTTGCATACGCAGTGCAATAGAAATAAATCCGAGGATTCTGTGGCATCCAAGAAGCAGCTTAGTTGCGTTTAAATTGTGGGCTTAAATGGGACTCTTTTCTGGCACTTTTTCATTTATCATACTTTTGACTTCTTATTTCGCTTATCTCAACTTATGAAGATCGAATCTGAAAAAATCGGAGACGGATGCTTCAGCTCGCAGGAATCGTTAGCTTGGCCGAAAAATTAGATTTAACAATTCATGCACTTTCACAGTGGATCACATCAACGTCCCATGAATTTTATCTGGCACTGATTTGTACAACTGTGTCGGTCGCGCACGTATCATTGTTATCCTGCAATAAGTTGATGTCTGAAAGCGACTGATAAATTTTCAGTAGTGATAGGGTTACCATCCTGCGAAAAGTTCGTTAATTTCATTCAATCACGAAACATCGAAGGCGGTCGACGTTTGCTGGCTTTTCAGAAAAGTTTCGAGCCAAAATTTATTAAAAGTTGGTATCGGTTAGTAATCGATGTGCAGAATCTTTTTTATGCGGAAAATAAGTAGTTGGTTTGTTTGGAAGATAAAACAAAGCGATACATTCAACCCTCCCTTAGTTATTGCCGTGGCGAATCGAGATGAATAAACACCTTTCATACAAAATATTTAGTTGAGTATAAACCTGTATCTCGTTTGTAAATCCCCTTAGTGTGCTACCCATAACATGTATTTTACACGTATCTCCAGCAGATGATACGGTAGAAATACACTGTATGCAATACATGGCTGGATTACGGATATCACAGATGCGTTTTTGCATTAAACTCGTAGCAGTCAAATCGTTAATATCATAAATGGTTCCTGCATAGCGACCTAATGCTTGGACTCATGTTGACTGTATTTTGGCCTTTTCTTGCATGCAAAGGGAGAAGGATGTATCTGTAGGCAAAATTTTATGAGTTAAGCATCTGCATAGTACGAGTTCATCATGTGCATAAGGAAGACATTGAAATGCGAGACCTGATGATGCATAAATTATAAAACCGAATAACCTAGTAGGTGACATGAGATAGAAGACTGTTTAAGGGAGAATTGGTGAGGTGCATTGCGAGATTCTAAGAAGCAGTCCTACCTCATACTTCTGTTCAGTGATCGCAAAAAAATGTAGATATGTGGAGGACAGAATGTGAGACATGATTAGTTCAAAGTGCGATTTTTTTTTAGTAATAGGAGACTGGAAATTTGTTGGTTTTCCCTATACATTTAAAGCTAATTCAAAAATTTCTGACCTTTTCGGATCAGCATTACGAGTAACGTAGTATTTATCGGCCGTGTCCTCTTGCTCACGCATCAGTCGTTCAATTAGTTTATTCTTATCAGCCAGTTCCTGCAATTGTGGAATTCTTGAAAATTTTGAAAATTGCAAGTGAGGCGATTATTTGGCGTGGGGTTTACAAAAGGAAAAAGGCTAGCAGACTTTGGTTCCTTTTGCACACATTTTGCAACATGACGTTTTTTGCTTAATTCTTCGCTCCAGTTAGTCTGTCTAGGGTTCAAAATTTAATTGCCCATTATCCAAAAATTTTTGCTTTGACTCATTTTTGCAGCTGCGACTTGATTTGGCTTTTATACCTGGCCGAATTATCTTAGGCTGTTAAAAGTGGTTCTTTTGTTTCTTTCGTACGCATCACTGATTTCAAGATAATAATTTTGTACAAAAGCAGGGAAAAATGGCATTAAGCATAAGTATCACCTGACAAAGCTTAATATTTTGCCGCTGATAATACTGAGTTCGGTCATCGGACGGCTGAGGCATTTGTGTCCTCACCTAAAACAGCTACTGTTTTGAAATGACTGAGAATAAGAGAACTGAGACTCTGGAAGTTTGTTCTAAACATCTTTTTTGGGATTGTGCTTTGGGTTACGGTAGCAACGCGGCTAGCCATACACAGCTAAAACAAGAAGCAGCTAAGAAGCGGCTTTTTGATGGCCTATCACCAAACTAACATTATGAGTCCTTCGATTTCGCAGAGGTGCAGTTATATCGAGAATAGCTGTGCCAAGCTTTTCTGTCATGAGCCTTTTGGCTCTAGCTGTTGTCCATGATATCCATCCTACTCGAACGCCTGCCCTCCTTGAAGAAAGTCCGGGAAAGTTCACAGAGAGATGTGCATTTAGCTCAGTTGAAGAGCAAATTTTTTTTACTGCTGCAGAACCTAGCTGATGTGCTGCACTATACTGAGAATATCATGAACTCTCTATTATATTAGTACCAAGTCAGTTTGGACCATCAGTTCATCCTTGAATTTTTTCTGCTGCCACAAAGTCGTGCTCAAAAATGGATATTAGAACAGACACTGACGTGCACTTAAACTAGATGTTTTTTACCAAATCCTTGATTCAAAGTGTTTTCTTTCTTTCTTCGAACCAGAAAGGGGAAAGCGGAACCTGCAAATTGGAGTAGCTCGGAAATCCGCGCTCGCTGCTCTCCAAAAGTGACGTTATTCGCCTATTAAGCTCAGCAATATGTGCACGCAAATAATTCAACTTTTGTTCGTGGACTGCCGAATCCTGCAATTACGCTAAATGCCACCGAGGCAAATGCTACAAATAACTAATTCTGTCGGATTTTTTTTTGAACTTCTGCGAGAAATTGTAGTTGAAAAAGTCAGGAATACGATTTTTCGTTACAACAATCGATGTAACAAAAATCTCAGCAACAGAAATATGCTCCCTTGCACTGGTTTTGATTTTTTTGCTTTTATGAAAAGGTCTTGGAATTTCTGGTGGAAGGAACTCTTGCAAAAAAATATTGACAGTAAATATGTATAACCAAAATATTTTAGACAACAAAAATTAAAAAAACCAACAAACAATTATTGAAAGCCTCTCTTTTAGCAACTCTTCTTGACTGTTCCAAAAATTCACTACCTAATGAGTCTTTACTGTTGAATCTCTGTACCCATGATTGCGAGATAAAAAAGATTGGACAGGAGAAAGGACTTCGTGAAAATTGCAATGGAAAGCTCCAGTTAGCTGTAATTCTAAAACTAATATCACGGTAATAAGAAGCAGGACTACCGAATTTTTGGAAACGATGAGGTAGGTAAAACTTCTCCTTCAGAAGCAATATAAATTAGCGCACTACTCCTACTTGTGTTGTATACAGACGTATGGCATATATATTTGTCCTGTTGGATGATTTATAGTGTCGCATCGTCTCACAAGAAAACATTAGAGTACCCAAGTCGTAACGGTGGTAGATAGTTGAATTAGGTAGCATGGCAAATATTCTAACAAAATATTCCAGCGATTACTGCGCTCATAAAAAGTTGAGCTCAAATCTCGACTCACGCGCGCTGACATCACTTTGTGCTCTAATGATGATAATAAGTCACAGCTTCTACTTCTAGATCCTACTCTCAAAGATCTTCCCGAAAAAGTAACTCGATTGAAAATGCACTAATAGCAAAACAGTTTATCTCATGAAAGCTAAAATTCCCCGACTTTTCCATCCTGAATCAGAAAAATTTCATAGAAATTCGGTTTCAGATCAAAGTTTTCCTAAACTCTCTTATCAGAGCCCATGGGACATTATGGATTTCAGGTCTCGCTTTATAAACACTACATAAAGGTTATCATTAAAAACGACGAATCCTGCGGTGGGATTCATTCAGTGTCTGTTGATGCTGCTTACTTGCTCTATGGTTGTTATTAGACACTTGGGTTACTTCGTTTTTGCTATTTATTATTAAGCATTTAGGTGCTATTTGCGCAGTCTTTTTTGCACACACAAAACTGTGGAGCGTGAGTCTGGAGCACAATATACAGGGCGAATTTGAGTGGCACATAGAATCGGTTAGTAGCAATGCGAGCCTTAAGCCATCAACTTATTTGCCTCTTCTTTCCATAGTTAGATTTCTAGCAAGACTGCACATCATTTCCTTCATATTGGTAATGCTAACAATGATAGCTATATTTGCTGAGTTCATTTTGATCTTATCCGTTGATACAGGAATTTCGATTTTATAAATTGCGTCAAAGCACTTTCCAAATTGCCTTGCAGCAAATAGCCTAATCTGCCTGAGATTTACTGTCTGAAGGAGCACGCACGATTTGTTATTCCTCCAGGAATGTTTTAAAATGCAATTGAATAGGAGATCCGACAAAAGAAATTTGTGAGACGGATGAAAGGAGTCTGCATAAGCGGTGAAATATGGCCATTACATACCACAGCCACCAGTCCCCTCGCCAGTAGATTGGCTCGTTTTTGTAGGCTTCGCAATCGCTCATTATACCAGCCGACCAGTTTTTTGGCATTCTTCAGGCCGCGATTGATCATTTCCTTTTCCTCATCCAAATATCCCTCATGCTTTGATGCCTGAAATTTGCATACCTTTGCTAGCCAGGAATGCTCAACATTCATTCCACACTCCACACCAATCCTGACGCCGGTCCTTTTAAGCTTAATGGAATTAGCCGCTTTCCTATTGCATCCACTACCTTCAGTAGAAGTAATTAATCAAATTTATACTGTTTTCTCTAAAACGAGCTAAGAGCTTCTAGCGCAGCGATTCCAGCACTTTAAGTAACATTAAATTTCAAAATTTCGGTGTGAGCTTTAACGGTGTTTTTCGAAGAATGTAAACAGCATTTGGAGCATTCATTTGAGCACTCTGCCACATGAATAGTGAAGGATGTCGTCAGGACAATGACAAAACTGAAGATGGAGATGGACGGCATGCAAGATGGACGGTTTGCTCAAGACGGACGGCATGCACACCTAACTTATCACCGTCTGGCGTCTACTGTGAGGGAGATGACCACTCAATCGGCATCCAGTGTTATGCGCACAAGTTATAAAGATGGCCGGTGCTGAATGGTGAAAGTCCAGCATTTCGATATTATCGGAACTCCAGAGCGACAACGCTTTCAAATACTTAGTGTAGAGCAAAACAAATATTACGTTTGAAAAACTTGAAAATGTTGAATTATTAATAATTTTTAGAGAAAAAAATACCATTTTTCTACAACAATCACTATGGGTCAAAACATTTCTCCTCACTCAGTTTTTTAAGATAGTTTTTTATTTTTTTTTAGTATATATTGTGATTAATAGCTCTACTATGCCTTTTTGAGAGTTTAGATTAAAAGGAACATGAAGAATTATGGATTTTGTGGGATATATTTTTGATAGGGTTCTACAAATACAACAAAAGAAAATGCTCAAATAGTCTGTGGAAAAACCGATTTAATTATTCCTTCATTTTCGGGACTGTGAAAAGATGAGACTCTTTTTGAGACTGAACTATTGCTTCATGTCATAACAGAGTGTGCAACCTTCTGATGAGCATAATAAAAAGATAATTAAAAATCCGGCACAGATGTAACATTTAATTAATTCGTTCTCTACCTAGCAGGGTAGTAACGTTGCTGCTCCTGGACTCCGGCGGCTCACCACAAAAAAAAGTACCAACAAGTTTATCTAAAATAAACTAGAATATGCTCATATAGTTATTGGAAAAACAGCCGATTACTGCTTAAGTGGCGCTTGCAATCGCGTTTAAAAGAACTAGTATATGCTAAGCAGCTGAATTAAATTATGAGAAGGAGCTTTGAAGGATAATGAATTAAGCGCTCTGAAAGTGGTGCAATTCATACGCTTTTATAGGCGCATCTGTGTACTTCTGCGCATGACAGTTGTGAGTAATCATTAAAGTAAACTTTACTCGTCTGTCGAACCAGCAGACGACGGATATTTATATCTTGTGAACCATTTGGGAATCATATTACAGCTCTGATGGTCTCAATTGCTTTGCTCTGAAAGGTAGCTTGGCCTCAAACCCAAGTGCTGCTACTCTCGAGACTACACTCAGCACTAATGAGTTTCAAAGGCGGCATTTGCTTTGACTCACTTTTGTTTACTGCCTCCCAATGCGCAAAACCCGATTCGTTGTTTTACCCTCTTTTCCAGTGAATCTACACTAACTGGAGATAAATAACTGCTCAGCTGAGCTAGCCGAGGGCTTTCAATAACAACGATTAGCTGCCATTTTATTTGAAAAATTTGCTGAAGACTTCCTCAATGAACCACCAGTTTGAAGCACATTGAATCATTTCTCTCACGCGTACTGATCTACCCGGATTTCCCACTGGAGCAGCTTGGGCTTTTTTTCTAGGCAAGCAAATGTTTCCTCGGGCAACGGTTCTTTTTCTTTTCGTGTTATTTACTTCGGCAATATGAATTTGTTATTAGTGCAAAATAAGAGCGAATATATTAAGTGAATAAAAATTCTTAATATGCATCAAATTTTTTTGAAAAAAAAAATCAGAGAATTTTGTGAAGTTTTCTGGCCTTTCGATGAATTTTCTTGAACGGTCTTTCTTTACGTATGTTGCACTGCTCAATTAACCCAGTATCACTGGCTCTCGTCGGTCCAGTGCACATGGCTAATGTTTCGAATAAGTATTCGACATATTCACTGGTTTAACACAGCCATTTCGCGAAAACATACAGAGCTTCTGATTCTGTCGCCTAATTCTTTATTCAGACTGTTAAATCATGGCGTTTTCGGGTTAATAGAGCAATAAAAGATCCTTAAAGACGATGCCACACGCAAAATTACGACTGCTGAATATCCCGGAACTATCAGCAGTCTAATTCATCCCGCTTTTTTCACTTGTGATGCACACTACCTTCACATTTTCCTGTCAGTTTACGATGTGTAGTTGAAACCAGTGCTGACCTCGAGAATTTGAAAAATCAAAGGAAAAAAATTGTGATGAATTTGCTGCTGCTGCTGACAAAAGCGCTTGAAAGATTTTTTGAGCTTTTATCAGTTACACCACAGTTCATGCAGGTTTTCGAAAAATTTAATGTAAATCTTCCCGCAGTGAAATCAGAAAGTGTCCCGAGGCAGAAGTTCCAGCTCTTATGTCTTTCAGAGGCAATTTGGAAACAGAGAAAAATGCAGACACGGATCATAAAAGAAGAAAATTGCTGCAACCATTAATTATCAAGTGGATAAAAAGCAGGTAAGCAATCAGAGTTTGGAAAGGGAATTGCCTTATTCGAATTTCATGCTTTCTGTTCTACTTCTGTAAGGTGCCTGTGAATTTAAGAAATTTGAGAGCTCGTAAATTTAAAAAAAATTTGAGGCACAAAGTTGAAAGACATATTTAGGATAAGGCTGGCATAGACTTTTAAAATACAACTCTAAAATCTACAAATGTAAGCAACAAATTTGCAAAAGATACTAATAACGCACTGAGTCTTGTTAGGATGCATAATAGTTATCAGGTACGTGTAGGGATTTGCGTACTGGTGCTTGAAGCTGTGGAATTTCGGGTATACCGGCGCTATCATGCCCGACTACAAAATTTTCCAAATTTGCCTTCAAAAAATTAAATATTTTTTCAACTAGAGGAAGTTTGCTAAAGTTACTCAAGTTAGCTGGCGCAGATAAACGATATCCAGCCTAATGTCTGGAAAAGACAAAAAGATGCATCCTACGTGCAACATGTGATACATAGCATGCGTTTCAGCTACCCACGCCATTCCTCATTTTCCGCTGTTCTTTCCTCAAAGGCACTAATTTATCGGTGCGCCAAAAATTATTACCGCATAAAGGGACTTGGGCTAGCCGACGGAACTGCATGGGACTGAGCCCGTTCTACTTGCCGAAGGCCGCCTCGCTTCTGCTCTTATTACTATTATTATCCCACATTTCCGTTTTATTGAAAATTGAACGTCATCGCCGACGTGTTGTGGCCATTTCAGTCTCAGGGTGACAATTTCGCGAACCTTATTAGTGGTGCGTTGTGCTAAGCAGCGATGAATCTGCTGGCTGTTCTGTTCATCCCTTTAACGATCACCATCGCCTTCCTCGGAAATGTTGCCGAGACTAATCTTCAAGAAGACACCGGCTTCCAGCCATTGTACAGCGATCAGGTAAACTCATAATTATTTTACGGTGCTCAGTGTCTGTGTTTCCTCCAAGAATTTTAAAAGCCTTAAATGGATAAATGACAACACATGTTCAGCAAGGTCAGCATGCACCATTCACTGCTTGCATTGTTCCTGCATACTGCAAATAGCCAAATTGCGCGAGCTAACGGAGACCGAAGAGTAGCAACATGGTGCACGCAGTGATGACCTCAGTGATATGCGTTTTGCGCTAGAACAGTTATATTAAATGCATTATATCATGAATCTTCCTGCGTGTTTGTATCAGAATATCTGCCCAGTTTCTCATGCGTTTTTTGCATCTATGCAATGCAAAAACACATACTGTCGAGGGTAGTCTGTGTATGTGTGTGTGTGTATATATGTATGTCTGTGTGTGTATCAGTAACGAGTTTTCATTTCGAAAACACAAAAGCTACAAGGCTGAAACTTTGAAAACTTTACTTGCACGTGCGGGCCTTTTGTCCTCAAAATGGACACTCACTTCCGGGTAGTTCTCACGTACGGGCACATGAGTTTTTTTTGGCGGGAAAGCGTTTACGGGAATAGCGCATCTAGGAGGCTGAAACTTCACAGAGATGTTCCTTGGTCACGTCTAATCCAGAGATTTCAAATCCAGTCTTCAGGCACCCTTGGGTTTTACGTACGCACACGCTAAAGTTTGAACTGGCATCGTGTCAACAACAAATTTAAGCTGACCGAGAAGTTGTAGGGGGCAGCAGTTTTGCAGCGGCTTGTTGCCCACTGTTGTACCCGTGAAAGGAAACTGAGATTTCCAGCCCTTCTGCATCTCACGTACGGATATGTGAAAATTTCACGCGAGCACTTTCGTAACTCCAGAATTGAAGCACTTAGAGGACCGGAACTTTCTGAGTTTAATCGACGGTAGCCTTTGACCAGGTGGACGTAAAACGGCTCTCATGTTTCTTTCATGTCTCATGCATGCCTCATGTACACACACATGGAATTTGACGTAATTTTGCAACCAAAACCGCTAGAGCGCCGAAATTTTCTGGCCATAACCCAGAACGCTGTTTGAGCAAGCGCACACTAAGACAGTATTCACATTGCCCTTCACTACGAACACGTGAAACTTGTTCACGTGTTCGTAGTGAGAGGCAGTGTGAAAGCGACCCCACAACCAGAGCAGCTGGAGTGCTGAAACTTTCTGAGCGCCGTTCTGGACTGTGTTTGGGCAAGAGTATGCGAAAACAGCGCTCATGTTATCAATCACGCACGAACATGTGAAATTTGACGTAATTCCGCAACCAGAGCAGCTGGGGTGCTGGGATCTTCTGAGCTTTGCCCAACCAAGCGCACGCATTAACAGCATTGATGTTGCCACTTACATACGGACACGTGAAATTTGACGTAACTCTGCAACCGAAGCACCTAGAGTGCTGAATTTTTTGAGCATGGATTGGGAGTAATCATAATAATTTCTGACAGACGTGGTGGCC